ATGACAAAAGAAAAAAAGAAAAAGAAAAAGACTAAAAATGAAAAATGACTTCATCTCAACCTAAAGGTCAGGATACTCAGCCTGAAGTGGTGGCTCACACCTGTAATCCCAGCACTTGGGGAGGCCAAGGTGGGTGGATCCCTTGAGGTCAAGAGTTCAAGACCAGCCTGGCCAACATGGTGAAACCCCGTCTCTACTAAAAATACAAAAATTAGCCGGGCTTGGTGGCGCGTGCCTGTAATCCCAGCTACTTGGGAGGCTGAGGCAGGAGAATCGCTTGAACCTGGAAGGTGGAAGTTGCAGTGAGCTGAGATAGCACCATTGCACTCCAGCCTGGGCGACAGAGCAAGACCATCTCAAAAATAAAATAAAATAAAATAAACAATAAAATAAAATAAAAGAGGAAATCCACTTGGCTTTAAAGAAAACATAACTAGACTTTGTTAGTTTTGCTCTCCTCGGCAGGTACAAAAAGAGGAAAGCCGAGGCTCCAAATAAGTTTGGGGAAAGAAGAACTGCCTTAGACCAACAATGTCAGGCTGGTGATGCCCTCTTGTGGCATCCTGGAAAATTACTGCTATCTGACTTCATTTCCTCTGACTTGGAGGGAGACTATTCCCTCACAATACCTTAGTCACTGATTCATGCATGCCAGACATTGTCCTAACAGTTTATAGTCAGATGGGGGACAGACAATTAATAAACACAATAAATAAGGTAATGCTATGGAAAAAATAGCAAAGTAAGGTGGGAGGGGAGGTGGTGAGTATAGAGAGTGGTAGTGTGCACTGCAATTTAAAAAAGAGTAGGCTGGGTGTGGTGGCTCATGCCTGTAATCCCAGCACTCTGGGAGGCTGAGGCGGGAGGATCACAAAGTCAGGAGTTTGAGACCAGTCTGGCCAATATACTGAAACCTCATCTCTACTAAAAATACAAAAGATTAGGAGGCTGAGGCAGAAGAATTGCTTGAACCCAGGAGGTGGAGGTCTCTGCTAAAAATACAAAAATTAGCTGGGCGTGGTAGCAGGAGCCTGTAATCCCAGCTACTTGGGAGGCTGAGGCAGGAGAACTGCTTGAGCCTGGGAGGTGGTGGGTGCCAGTGAGCTGAGATTGCACCACTGTACTCCAGCCTGGGTGACAGAGTGACGCTTGATCTCAAAAAAAAAAAAAAAAAAAAAAAAGGAAAAGAAAAAAAACAGGGAGAGGAAGAAAAGCAGAATAACATTGACAAGAGATGATAGTGGCTCAGCCCAGAGCAATACTGGTAGTGAGATATGGATGGATTCTGCTTGTATTTGGAAGATAGAGCCAACAGACAAAATAGATATGGATGCTAAAGACAGACATCAAGGAGCACTCCACTATTTTGTTTCATTTAATTTTTTTTTTTAGTTTTTATTTTATTTTTTTTTATTTTTTTATTTTTATTTTTTTTGAGACGGAGTTTCGCTCTTTTTACCCAGGCTGGAGTGCAATGGCGCGATCTCGGCTCACCGCAACCTCCGCCTCCTGGGTTCAGGCAATTCTCCTGCCTCAGCCTCCTGAGTAGCTGGGATTATAGGCACGCACCACCATGCCCAGCTAATTTTTTGTATTTTTAGTAGAGATGGGGTTTCACCATGTTGACCAGGTTGGTCTCGATCTCTAGACTTCGTGATCCACCCACCTCGGCCTCCCAAAGTGCTGGGATTACAGGCTTGAGCCACCGCGCCCGGCTAGTTTTTATTTTTTTGAGACGGAGTTTCGCTCTTGTTACCCAGGCTGGAGTGCAATGGCGTGATCTCGGCTCACCGCAACCTCCGCCTCCTGGGTTCAGGCAATTCTCCTGCCTCAGCCTCCTGAGTAGCTGGGATTACAGGCACGCACCACCACGCCCAGTTAATTTTTTGTATTTTTAGTAGAGACGGGGTTTCACCATGTTGACCACGATGGTCTAGATCTCTTGATCTCGTGATCCACCCGCCTCAGCCTCCCAAAGTGCTGGGATTACAGGCGTGAGCCACCGCGCCCGGCACTTTTGTTTCATTTTATAGGGAGAATGAGTTGCCATGAGTTGAACTGGGGAAAGTGGCACGGGATTAGGAGTTCAGTTTTAGACACGATGAGGTGGAAATATGTAGCTGGAAACAGAAGGGCAGGAGTCATTGGCCTATAATGGTATTTAAAGTTCTGAGACAGGATGAAGTCACCAGGGTGCAAAAGCACATAGAAAAGAGACTTCAGACCAGGAGCCCTGCTTCACTCCAACTTGAATGAGACTGGACTGAAGAGAAGAAATCTTCAAAAGAAAAGACAAGACTGTGCACACTCAGGCCAGGCACAGTAGCTCATGCCTATAATCCTAGCACTCTGGGAGGCCAAGGCAGGAGGATCACTTGAGGCCAGGAATTGGAGACTAGCCTGGACAACATAGTAAGACCTTATCTCCACAGAAAAGAAAAAGAGAATTAGCTGAGTGTGGTGGTGGTGCACATCTACTCTGGAGCCTGAGACATGGAAATTGCTTGAGCCTGGAAAGCAGATGTTGCAGTGAGCTGAGATCGCACCCCTGCACTCCACCCTGAGTAACAGAGTGAGACCCTGTCTCAAAAAAAAGAAAAAGAAAAGAAAGCAAGAAAGACTATGAACACTCCAGCCCCTCCTAGAAGAACCTGCCTTTTTCCAGGAATCCTCCACCTACCTGCCTTAAGACCCCTTAAGATTCCCTCTTTACATTCCTTCTCCCTCCCCCTGGGAGAAGGTGCTTTGAGCATGAGTTCCCCTTCTCCATTCCTATGATGCAAGATTTTCTACTTGGTCACTTTGCAAGCTGGGGACCTCTGGCTAGCAATGCCCCACCCAGGCCTTGCTCTCCAGGCTACCTGCTGCAGGAGATGACCCACCCACTCAGTCCACTTGGTGGAGCCTAGCTTATGGATCAGTTCTTGTCCTACAAGCCCAAGAAGAATGAGGATGCACTGACAACTGAAGAGTGAGCAAGGTAGGGAGTTTTTTTTGTTTTGTTTTGTTTTGTTTTGTTTTGAAAGAGTCTTGCTCTGTCACCCAGGCTGGAATGTAGTGGTACAATCTTGGCTCACTACAATCTCCACCTCCCAGGTTCAAGCGATTCTCCTGGCTCAGCTTCCTGAGTAGCTGGGACTACGGTTGCCCACCACTATGCCCAGCTAATTTTTGTACTCTTAGTAGAGACAGGGTTTCACTATATTTTTTTTTTTTTTTTTTTGAGACGGAGTTTCGCTCTTGTTACCCAGGCTGGAGTGCAATGGCGCGATCTCGGCTCACCGCAACTTCCGCCTCCTGGGTTCAGGCAATTCTCCTGCCTCAGCCTCCTGAGTAGCTGGGATTACAGGCACGCACCACCATGCCCAGCTATTTTTTTTGTATTTTTAGTAGAGACGGGGTTTCACCATGTTGACCAAGATGGTCTCGATCTCTTGACCTTGTGATCCACCCGCCTCGGCCTCCCAAAGTGCTGGGATTACAGGCTTGAGCCACCGCGCCCGGCCGGTTTCACTATATTAACCAGGCTGGTCTCGAACTCCTGACCTCATGATCTGCCCACGTCAGCCTCCCAAAGTGCTGGGATTACAGGCGTGAGCCACCACGCCCAATTTTTATATTTTTAGTAGGGATGGGATTTCACCATGTTGGTCAGGCTGGACTTGAACTCCTGACCTCGTGATCTGCCTGCCTTGGCCTCCCAAAGTGCTGGGACTATAGTTGTGAACCACCGCAAGGTGGCAAGGTGGGAAGTTTTATTGAATGTTAAAACAGCTTTCGGTGGCCATAGAGAGTGGTTCCCCTACCTGACAGTAGGCAAGCCCTCCTAATATGGCTGAGTCCAGGGCTTCTATGGGCTCAGAATTTGGAAAGGGCAGGCCATAGGTAGTATTGGAAAAGGCAACATTCAGTTGGTTAAAAGGCATTATTCAGAAAGAATTAATCAGGAAAGGGCAGGCAAACAGAAACACAAGTTCTCACTCTGGGTTGTGGGTTTCATCCGGGACCAGTGGTCCAAAGCACTCCCTTTAATGTCTCTAACAGCAGGAGAAAAACCAGGTGGGTAGGGTGTTCTGGAGGAAAGGGTGCATATGCCATCAGGGAGTGGAGGTGAGGCCCTCTATTCAGGCTATGCCCTTGAATCTTCCAGGGTGTTTGTGGCCCTTCCCTCTGGACCTGAATTTTTTTTTTTTTTTTTTTTTTTTGAGATGGAGTCTCACTCTGTTGCCCAGGCTGGAGTGCAGTAGTGTGATCTTGGCTCACTGCAACCTCCGCCTTCTGGGTTCAAGCAATTTTTCTACCTCAGCCTCCCAAATAGCTGGGACTATAGGTCCTCGCCACCATGTCTGGCTAATTTTTATATTTTTGGTAGAGACAGGGTTTCACCATATTGGTCAGGCTGGTCTCGAACTCCTGACCTCGTGATCTGCCCACGTTGGCCTCCCAAAGTGCAGGGAGCAACTGTGCTTGGCCTGGTTTTGAGATGGGGTCTTGCTTTGTTGCCCATGCTGGCTTCCAGCTCCTGGGCTCAAGAGATCCTCTTGCCTCAGCCTGCAGAGTACCTAGGATTACAGGTGCAAGTCACTGTCCTAAACTTGAACCTGCTTTTTTTTTTTTTTTTTTTTTTGAGATAGAGTTTCGCTCTTGTTGCCCAGGCTGAAGTGCAATGGTTCGATCTCAGCTCACCCAAACCTCTGCCTCCCCAGTTCAAGCAATTCTGCCTCAGCCTTCCCGAGTAGCCGGGATTACAGGCAGGTGCCACCAAGCCCAGCTAATTTTGTATGTTTAGTAGAGACAGGGTTTCTCCATGTTGGTCAGGCTGGTCTCAAACTCCTGATCTCAGGTGATCTGCTCTCCTTGGCCTCCCAAAGTGCTGGGATTACAGTCCTGAGCCACCGTGCCCAGTGGACCTGCTTTTTAACTTCAGGAGCAGAGGCACCACAACCTATCATCATAGTTCTCATTTGACCCCCCTTTTCCCTCCACACACACAAAGAACAGACAGATACCAAGGCTGTTTATTGACAGCGGCTCTCCCTCTGCCCTTCTAGGGTGCCTAATACCCAGTCTCCCCACTGGAGACAAGTGGAGTGACTCTGAGCTTGACCCCAGGTGCCTTCCTCCTGCCAGGCTTCCCTGCCTCGCAGCCTTGGCCTTCCTGGTTTGCCACAGGGGCTGTTACTCCTTTGATTCCACATCGTCGTTCTGGAAGTGTGTAACGCAGGCCGTGTGAGCCGAATCACGAGAGCCACAGAAGGTGTTCATGCTGTAGCAGCTGTCAAGGTGGCGCAGGGCTGCAGGCAGGAAAGGTGGGCATGAGGAGGTGCTGGCTGCGCTTGCTCCCAGCTTCCCTCTTCCCCGGCTTCCCTCGCCCCACACTCACCTCTGGTAACATTGACTTTGTTGGCCGCCAAGATGTCCGCCTGAACGCTGTCTATTTTCATGTACAAGTCCGCAGCGTTGCTCTGAGGACAGGAGCAAGGGGGACCCAGCTGGGTTACCAGAGCAGTCTGGACTCGGAGTTGGGCTTGGCAGAGGGATGTTGCAGGTTGGGGGCGAGCTGGCAGCCTGACTGAATGGGCAGGAAATAGAAGAGGAAGGTGGCAGGTGCAGGAGCCTAGGCTAGGGCAGTCCCTCCTGCAGGTGGTGGCCAGCTCCACTCTGCGTGTGGCGCGCTCCAGAATCGGGACGGTGTGGAGGGGTACCGCCGACTGCTCATTGCGGCGGGGCGGGGAGGGAGCACTTACCAGGAAGAGCTGGTAGAGTTCCTCTCCCATGCACCTGCGCACGTGCTCCGCCACCATGGGGAACATCTGCACGAAGCACTGTGCCACGCGGGCGGGGCGGCGTGACTGCCGGGCGGCGGGGCTGTGGGTGCCGCCGCCCTTCCCGCCCCCTCGCCCGCCGCCGCGCGCACCTCTAGCGTGAGGCTGGCCAGCCGCTGGCTGTTGCTGTGGTCTGTGTTGCCCATGGCGGCCATCAGGCCGTGCACCACGCGCAGGTACAGCAGCTCCTCGGCGATGCTTATGTCGTTGCGCACCAGGACCCTGAGCCAGAGGTTCGGGCTGCGGCGATGCCTTGGGGCTCACCCGACGCACACCCGCGCCCACCCGGCGCCCGGCGCCCGGAGCTCTCCCGGGGCCCGCGGGCAGCGCCAAGCCAGGCTTGCTGCAGCCACCCACTACCCCCTGCCCGCTTACCCGATGGCCTTGGCGGCCGCGGCCTGCTGCAAAAACATCGGCAGGCTGGGGGTGAGCTGGAGAATCGAGGGGTCTGAGGAAGGTGCGGCCGTGAGGCAGGAGGCCCCCCTCCCGCGGCCCAGGTAGCCCCATCAGAGCAGGTCCCTACCATTGAGGATCTTGGCTTGCAGTTTGGAGGTCTCCTTGACCGATGGTATCAGCAGCGCCACTAGGCCCTTAAGCAGCGCCTGGCGCACGTCGTAACCGACAAGGTCCTTGATCAGCTCGATGGCTGGGAAAGGGCAGAGGTGCTGGAGAGAGGCCCCAGGCCCCTCTGCCACCAAGTAAGCCAAGAGCCCGGTGAACCAAGTCGCCACCCATCACTCTGTCCTCCTCCCGACCTTTTACTGCCCGGCACTGTGTAGGGCGTCAGGGAGCTGGGAAGGGGACACCTCGGTTGAAGAGCAGGAGGAGGGGTCTCAGTGGAACACCTCACTTGAAGTGGGGGAAGGGTTGGATGGTGAGCCCACCCTTACAGGTGGCCTAGGATGTCAGCGCTGGAGGCTGAGAGGCCCCAGAGACCTGAGCATTCACCTTGGAGGCATCCGGGTTTCACGGAGGAGGGAAGGGCTGGGCCTTTATAGGAAGGCAAGGTGGAGAAAAACAAGGGGTGAGAGGGAGAGGGAGCAAGTGGGTGGGGGACTTATGGTAGGAAATGAGAGAGGGAAAGCAAGCTAGGCGGGAGTTTAGAGAAGCTCTCCTTCTAACCATCATCAAGCCCTTTCCACCAGGCAGGGTGCCAGGCTTTCCAATGAGCCCTCTCTACCAGGCAGGATGCCAGGCTTTCCATTGAGCCCTCTCCACCAGGCAGGGTGCCCGGCTTTTCATACAGCATCCGCGGAAGCTCACCAGAACCCGATGAGATGTGCTTCCCCATTTTACCTTTGCCGAAATTAGGCACAGAGAGGTAAATACTTTGCCCAAGTTACACAGCTAGGAAATGGTGGAAGCAGAAGGAGGGAAAGATTTGGTTAAGAAGGAGAAGGGGACTAGAATTTATCTGGGGCATTTCCTTCAGGGCTTTGCTATAAATACTTTACACTCAGTCATTCATTCGGTTCAGCATTCACTCAGCCTTTGGCACAATTGCATATGAAGGCCTATGTGCCAGGTGTGGCATTGGGTGTTGAGGATGCAGAGTAGATTCATTCTTTCAACCAACTCTCCTTAAGCACCAACAAACAGGCTGTAATAATATGGTGACAGGTGCTGTGGAAGGGGCCAGTGTTCAGACTGTGGGAGAACCAGAGAAAATGGGCAAGGAGTGAATATTTTTGTCAAGAAGAGAAAGGAACCACAGAGCTAGAGGGGGCAGGAGGATATGCTAAGGCAATGAACACCAAGGTAAATGCTACTTTTTAAATTTTTTGTTTTTTTGAGACAGAGTATCGCTCTTGTCACCCAGGCTGGAGGGCAATGGCTCACAGCAACTTCTGCTTCCTGGGTTCAAGTGATTCTCCTGCCTCAGCCTCTGGAGTACTGGGGACTACAGGTAAGTGCCACCATGTCTGGCTGATTTTTATATTTTTAGCAGAGGCAGGGTTTTACCATGTTGGCCAGGTTGGTCTTGAACTCCTGACCTCAGGTGATCCACATGCTATGGCCTCCAAAAGTGCTGGGATTGCAGGCATGAGGCACCAAGCCTGGCCTCTTTTTAAATTTAATTTTTTTTTTTTTTTTTTTTTTTTTTTTTTTTTGTGAAATGAGGTCTTACTATGTTGTCAAGGCTGGTCTTGAACTCCTGGGCACAAGCGATCCTTCTACCCTTGCCTCCCCAAGTGCTGGGATTACAGGTGTGAGTCATGGTGCGCCCAGCACTGCTACTCTGAACGTGTGCTAGCTACATGGAAGACAGAACTTGGACAGGGCTCTCCCCAGCTCAGTAGTCAAGTGCCTGTCTTTCTCTTTACTGGTAAGAGAGGGTTTAGGGGAAGTTCTTGTTCCCGTGCTTAGCTCATTTGCATCCCAGAATGCAATGTAGATACGAGAACTATTACTGGGGTTGTCTGTTTAAATAATAACATTTAAACTTTTTTTCCTTGTCAGGAGAGTTCACCCAGTGAGAACATGTTTAGGACATTTTCTACAGTAGAAGAAAAGCTTCTGTCGGTGGGTCCAAAAGCACCGTAAGTGTAGAGACACCAGCCAGTATCTGGGAAGCGAGGCACGAGTACAGCAAGGTATACTCTGGTTTCTCTTCATAACGAATAAATCTTTCGCCTTTTACTAAAGATTTCCGTGGAGAGAAACTATCTAGAGTTTATGACTAAATTTTTTGATGTCCTGCTTAGGCAGGGCTCATTATCTAGTTTACTAAAGGTAGATATGTGGGTGTGATACTTTGTATTTGCTAGTCTTAACAGATTAAGAGGCTGGGGTGTGTTGTCAGTGCCACAAGCCCCAGCTCTTTGCGAGGCAAAGGTGGTTTAAGACATGAGAGGAGTACTTGAATTTAGAAAGTTGACGCTGTGAGGAAAGAAGGTGTCACTATATTCCAGCTTGGGCAGAACAGCAAAACCCTCTCTCTCATCCTTCTTTGTTTTTGAGATGGGGCCTCCCTCTACCACCCAGGTTGTAGTGGAGTGGTGTCGCAGCTCACTGCAACCTCTGCCTCCCACGCTCAAGGAATCCAGCTCACTGCAACCTCTGCCTCCCACGCTCAAGGAATCCTCCCACCTCAGCCTCATGAGCCTGGTTAATTTTTTTTTTTTTGAGACGGCGTTTTGTTCTTGTTACCCAGGCTGGAGTGCAATGGCGCGATCTCGGCTCACCGCAACCTCCGCCTCCTGGGTTCAGGCAATTCTCCTGCCTCATCCTCCTGAGTAGCTGGGATTACAGGCACGCGCCACCATGCCCAGCTAATTTTTTGCACCTTTAGTAGAGACGGGGTTTCACAATGTTGACCAGGATGGTCTCGATCTCTTGATCTCGTGATCCACCCGCCTCGGCCTCCCAAAGTGCTGGGATTACAGGCTTGAGCCACCGCGCCCGGCAAGCCTGGTTAATTTTTTGTACTTTTTGTAGAGACGGAGTTACAGGCATAAGCTAGTGTGCCTGGCCTATTGCCACGTTTTTTTTTTTTTTTTTTGAGACGGAGTTTCGCTCTTGTTACCCAGGCTGGAGTGCAATGGCGCGATCTCGGCTCACCGCAACCTCCGCCTCCTGGGTTCAAGCAATTCTCCTGCCTCAGCCTCCTGAGTAGCTGGGATTACAGGTACGCGCCACCATGCCCAGCTAATTTTTTGTATTTTTAGTAGAGACGGGGTTTCACCATATTGACCAGGATAGTCTCGATCTCTTGACCTTGTGATCCACCCGCCTCAGCCTCCCAAAGTGCTGGGATTACAGGCTTGAGCCACCGCGCCCAGCCGCCTGGCCTCTTTTTAAATTTATTTATTTATTTTTTTTGTGAAATGAGGTCTTACTATGTTGTCAAGGCTGGTCTTGAACTCCTGGGCACAAGCGATCCTTCTACCTTTGCCCCCCCAAGTGCTGGGATTGCAGGTGTGAGTCATGGTGCGCCCAGCACTGCTACTCTGAACGTGTGCTAGCTACATGGAAGACAGAACTTGGACAGGGCTCTCCCCAGCTCAGTAGTCAAGTGCCTGTCTTTCTCTTTACTGGTAAGAGAGGGTTTAGGGGAAGTTCTTGTTCCCGCGCTTAGCTCATTTGCATCCCAGAATGCAATGTAGATACGAGAACTATTACTGGGGTTGTCTGTTTAAATAATAACATTTAAACTTTTTTTCCTTGTCAGGAGAGTTCACCCAGTGAGAACATGTTTAGGACATTTTCTACAGTAGAAGAAAAGCTTCTGTCGGTGGGTCCAAAATCACCGTAAGTGTAGAGACACCAGCCAGTATCTGGGAAGCGAGGCACGAGCACAGCAAGGTATACTCTGGTTTCTCTTCATAACGAATAAATCTTTCGCCTTTTACTAAAGATTTCCGTGGAGAGAAACAATCTAGAGTTTATGACTAAATTTTTTGATGTCCTGCTTAGGCAGGGCTCATTACGTAGTTTACTAAAGGTAGATATGCGGGTATAATGTTTTGTACTTGCTATTCTTTTAGCTTTGAGAGGCCAAGGTGTGACTACATTCCAGCCTGGGCAGTACAGCAAAACCCTCTCTCATCTGTTTTTGTTTTTTTTTGAGATGGGGCTTCCCTCTACCACCCAGGCTGTAGTGGAGTGGTGTCGCAGCCCACACTCAAGGAATCCTCCCACCTCAGCCTCATGAGCCTGGTTAATTTTTTGTACTTTTTATAGAGACGTTTCGTACTTTTTATAGAGTTACAGGCGTAAGCTAGTGTGCCTGGCCTATTGCCACTTTTTTTTTTTTTTTTTAAGCTTTTTTAGCTTCCTGTTTCCTAAAGATGTTTACAAGATTGTTTCTGTGTTTTAAAAAGGAAAATCCAATAATTTGGCTGAAGTCTGTGAGTCTTTCTAGTCTGCTGGTTCCAATTTATCGTGATGCCTTAGTGTGCATGGTTATCGTTTTTTTTTGAGACGGAGTTTCATTCTTGTTGCTCAGGCTGGATTGCGATGGTGGGATCTCGGCTCACTGCAACCTCTGCCTCCTGGGTTCAAGTGATACTCCTGCCTCAGCCTCCCACGTAGCTGCGATTATGTATGTGCCACCATGCCCAGCTAATTTTGCATTTTTGGTAGAGATGGGTTTTCTCACATGATTATTATACTTTGGGCTGTTCTTGTATTTGAAATATTAAGTGTAGGAAAAACTTAAGAGCTAGGATGATGATACTTTCTTCCAGAGATAATTTTCATTTGTTTCTATCAGCTACCTGGGGGGACAAAAAATTCTGGACTACCTTTGTCCATGCTCAGCTAATTTTTGTATTTTTTAGTAGAGAAGGTGTTTCACTATGTTTGGCCAAGCTGGTCATGAACTCCTGACCTCTAGTGATCCACCCACCTCGACTGCCCAAAGTGCTGAGATTACAGGCATGAGTCACCCTGCATGGCCTGTTTTGCATTTTGATAGCTGCTAATTGCTTCAGGATCAGCAAATGGCCTCGGCTTTGAGGGCTGGCCTGTTGGGTTCTCACCTCCCCCTCGATTTCGGTATGGTAATTCCTCATTGTACTGCTCTCCAACGCTATTAAGATTACATTTTTTTGGTAGATATTTTAGTAGCTCCAGGAGTGAGATTTGTTGAAATTGCCCAGCCCACCATGATCAGAAAGGGAAGTCTTCTTTATCCGACTATTG